ATTGTGTTGTTGAGATATATGCCCGCAGAGGTGCGCAAAGTTGGTAGGGTGACCGACTCGCTTGCCTGACCGACTCGCTTATCCGTCACGTTATTCTTGGCTAGCTTCAAAGTGATCGAGGCCCCTATGTTCATGTACACCTCCTCTGTTTTAATCGGCCGCACCACCATGTACATAGTGACGCTCGAGCTAGCTAATTTGTTTTAGCCGTATGAAGCCGTACTCTGAAAACAGGGGTCCAGTGCGAGGATCGGCCCTGTAAGCCCTAGGGAAACACGGCCACATGTAAACTAATTCATCCATCAATTCATAGTAGGGCCGAACCCGACTCATAGGCACTGCTAACCAACCCATTACTAACAGAAGAGATCCTACTCTTTGTGGTTAGTTAGTCTTTTGCTAAACAACCATAAGAAGGCCTTCATCCAAGGCCTATTCCTTTCTTTACTCTTCATCCAGCACTTCAAACTCCACAAGACAATCACACCAATCTCATTCCCCAACCACCAAATCCAATCATCATGAAGGTCCAAACCCTCGTACTCCTCATGGCCGCCGTTGCCGAAGCCTCTTGGGTGAGTACTCTTCTCCCAAAACATGCATTTACTAGAGGCTAATTCTGTGAATCTTAGGAATGCAGGAACAGGTCTGAGAAATTCAGGACTGACAAGGCCCCTGTTCCTAAGCGGGCTAGTACAGAGACCAGCTGGACCTACTGTCCTATAGCTGCTGGCTGCTGCACTGACGGAAATGAATGGTACGCCTGCAAAGCTGTAAGTTTTTGTCCCTCTTGAATGCTTGGATGAGTGGTTTGCTAATATTTCTATAGACATGCAACGGTGGAACGAACTGCGCCAACGGCTGCTAAGCATGGGCGGAGACGTCAAGTACGGGAAAGGCTATCTCTAGCCTCTTCCCAGCGATTCATAATGCAACATATAAATCATCTATGTTCTTCCGTAGATAGTTAACGAATGTTTTTCAATCAAGAGTAACGATCAACCTTGTTCCCAGATTCATCATGAGCTGTAACACTAGGCAGCTCATTCAAAAGTGCATGTTGGCGAATGTTCGCTTGAAATTTCAGGATCAGCCTAAAATCTTGAGTGGTGAAAGACTCATTGCCTTGTATTGTAGGTTAAGATCGCTAGTACACACACCACAATCACCTTAGGACAAGAGGGGGGTTCATACTATGACATCTAATATCGCTTTCCGGCATAACCATGATTGCAAAGAGCTGATATTATTAGTTCTAGTTGTACAGCATCCGTTCGATATCAAGGCTTACTTTACCACGGTTTATCACATGTAGCATCAGCCGCCCCCTGTCTCCATTCATCTTAATAATGCTTTCTATCACTGTCTTCTTCCATCGCTGATCTTCTATAGTCAGAAGATCATGCCTGTCCAGCGTTTTGATAACCAATGTCATTCATCATCATTTTCCCACCAATCGTCTTACAACAGCTCCTTCGCTGTTGGGCAGTCTCTCCATTCGAGCTTCATCGTCTTGAATATGAAGACATTGTCTCTTTTGGTTACTTCCTTTTCGGTAATTCGTATGAAATGAGTCATCTTATCCCACTGATTCAGTTGCATGAGCTGTGAAGACATCAGCCTTGATTTATACTCACAACAGTAGTAGTATTGCGACCTACCATAGTATCGAGCGATCATATGTCGGCGGCATTATTCCATGGAATTCCTAAGAAAATCTCTGGGCTCGACCACATCGCCGTTCCCACAACGGCGCCAGATGTAGCCCACTCCGAGTCAGCGGGGTAACATCCACCCAAGTCGCCCAATCGGACTTTAGAAAATCGTGTGTCGCCTTCGTGTAGATTGGCAAGCACATTGTCTGGCTTAACGTCTGAGTTCCTTGTCAGTCACATAAAGTCCATGACTTGCAGAAGTAAGCATCGTACCTACATGCACAAACCCATCCTCATATAAAGTATCAATTGTCTCAAGGACGCATCACGATACATATTTCAACTCCCGTCGATTTAGGGTCTTCTCAACAGACGCTTCTAGAAGGTCTCCTTGCAAGTTTTCAGAACTATAGTTGTCGGGATAGATGGCTCACTGATTTCATCGATCAAGGGTCGGAGGTACGGAGTACGTTGCTGGAATGTTTTGAGTACATCTCGTTTGCTTTCAACCCCTGGCCGATCTCGAACACTCATGATCACCACAAGCTCTTGCGTATGATTTCTGACAGTGACAAGAATTTGTGATGACAAATGAATGTACTGTGCTTACTTGGCAAACCACACAACATCTTGGATTTCCTTCGTAATAGTATAATTACCAGCAGATCTTTTCAGAATTCGACCTATTCGAAGGATTGATGACATTGGATGATGGTCAGATTGTACTATTAAGCACAAACGATCTTGGTGAGAATAAGACAAGAATTGTCAACTGTACAAGAGGTCATGACAAGAAGAAACAGCTGCGGTGAAGCAGGCCTTGGCTAGTGACACAATTTCCGATGTTTGTCGAGCGAACGCATAGTCGCAAGACTATACTCGTATAAGTGATAAGTGAACATCTCACGTGATCATGCGTGTGAGTACCATGGTCCCAAGATACTGGCAGACGACCATGTCAATTTTCTTCTGCACACAACATCATAATTACAAAATCCTGTGGCTATCATATAACTTACTCTAATCATTCCAATCTTCTAAACCAGCTATCTTTGATAGTGGACTTGAATAGTTGAATAATGTAGCTGGGAGGGCTTTAATTATCACATTTCTTTCGTGATTGAGTCGCAGTAACGTTATTTGGCAAAACGTATAATAATACATAGACTATATGCCCCATACTGCATCATAAATAGACAGTGGTTTTGGAGATGTAGGGAAATTGAGGTATAACACTAGTCCATATGCGGGCGATATAGGCAGCAGTCACGTGCTTTCGCGGTTTCTCATGACGGAGACGCGTCGCAGAACCCCACCTAGTTGTGGCGATTTTACCGGCTGAAGGGGATAATCAGAACATTTCGCCTCTTCTGTTACACCAAAAGATCGGCATACTCGCACTTCTTTGCCGTGTTGCCACCTTGTCCCTGAATTTGCCACTCAGATCCCGTGAACGCGCGATCGTTCCTTTGTATCGGCGCGGGAGTGCCAGGGGTATATCGCCATTGACTCTTCGTCACATTCATTCTCACATCTCCATTCCTTTATTGAGGTTCACCGTCGCTCATTCACCTTTTTCGGATTTTCCATCTACCACAACTTCCAATCTTTTTTCACAGTCGCAGTTGCCTATCTTTCCGTAATTATTGTCACCATGGCGCTGCGGCGATCCACCCGCAAGTCAACCAACAGCGTCGCCAACGATGTCGCCCCTGCAAGTTCGCCTCTTCCTGGAGCTAGTATGTGCAAGCTGCTCTGGGCAAACAATTCGTTGATTGCCTTGCATCGCTTGCAGCGCTGACATGTTTGTAGAAATAAAAGATTCCCCAGCAATGGGTAGTCGCCACCAGCAGAAACTCACTCGCGCTTCTCGCACCTTTGTTCCGAACTCCTCCGATCAAGAGAGCGATACGATTGAAGCCATCGTGCCCAAGGAATCTACACAAACTCGCCGGGTTCTCAAGGCAGTCTCGATCCCCACTTCCAAACCTCAGAAGACGCCCGCCACTCGCAGTCAGCTCTCCAGTGTCAACACCCGTCAGACAGAACAGGAGAGCTCGACTGGCTCACCTTCTCTAGACAACTCAGACTATGAAACGCCAGGAACCAGCATATCAACTACACCAGCTGCTTCAGTTGACCGCGGAAAGATGCCTGCTCGCCGAGGCCGCAACAATACCACCACGCCGTCGCAAAGCAGCGCATCGATTTCGAAACGATCCCGTGACATGGTCCTAGACTCGGACTCTGAAAGTGTTGTATTCGATATGGATGCGGAGATTGCTCTACAAATGCAGCTTGAGGATGAAATGGGTATGCCGCGAAGCAAGCGTCAGAAGACCGAAGAAGAGGATGAAGACGAGGTTATGGAAGAAGATGAAGACGACGATGAGATATCAGACTTGGATGAGCTGGACTCGCCACCTCCCTATATCGGCAAAGGAAAAGGCAAGGCTCTGGATATTCCGGTCAAGCGTGGTCGCTCTGCCCGCTCAAGTGCGAAGAAGAAGAGCAAATTCACAGAGGATGATTTCATCGATGACGAAGAATCCGATGGCGGTGATTTCCAACCTGACGAGCATGAAGACCATGATGACCTTGAGTCCTTGCTCGCTCTTGAGGAGGCGATGCTCCCAAGCGACAGCGATGAGGAGCCACTAAAGAAAACCGCTGCACGCCTGAGAAAGCTTGCTGCGGCGAGACCAACCAGGGCAGCTCGAGGCACGAAGAAGCAGTTGACCCACGATGAAAGGATTGAAGCACATGGACGACGGGCTAGGTTTGCGCACATTGCGGATAAATGGGAGCGGAAGCGTGCCATGAACCGTGAGCGAGCAGAACAGCAGCACCCCAAACTACGCACCATGTGGGATGACTTGAAGAAGGTTCCTGTTCTTGAGGTCCAAAAGGCAGAGCAGCCGCAGTCAATCAACAGGCGACTAAAGCCATTTCAACTTGAGGGACTCAGTTGGATGATTCGCCAGGAACAGACTCACTACAGGGGTGGCCTACTCGGAGACGAGATGGGTATGGGCAAGACTATCCAGGCTGTCTCCCTGATAATGTCTGACTACCCCGCGAAGCAGCCCACGCTTGTGTGCGTTCCACCCGTTGCTCTTATGCAGTGGACGAATGAGATACGCGAGTACACAGACAACAAGCTCAAGGTTCTTGTGTATCACGGCACGAACGCCAAGTGCAAAAAGATGACAGTCAAGGAGTTGAAGTCTTACGACGTCATCATGGTCTCCTACAATTCTTTGGAATCGCTGCATCGCAAAGAGACAAAAGGATGGTCCCGTGGAGAAGATATCATCAAGGAAGCGTCTCCACTCCATGCCATCTACTATCACCGTCTCATCCTGGACGAAGCGCACAGCATTAAGTCACGCAACACGGGTGTAGCCAAGGCTTGCTTTGCATTGAGGAGCGACTACAAGTGGTGCTTGTCCGGTACACCAGTTCAGAACCGTATCGGAGAGTTCTTTTCACTCCTTCGTTTCTTGGAGGTTCGTCCCTTTGCAGATTACTTCTGTCGTTCGTGTGATTGCGAGAAGCTCCACTGGGCTACGAATGACGACCACATGTGTGTCGCCTGTAACCATGGAGCGTCCGAGCATATCTCTGTTTTCAACCAAGAGTTGCTCAATCCTATCACTGGCGATGATCCCGAGCTTCGAGAAGAGGCCTTGACCAAGCTTCACCTCATCACTGCCCGTATCATGTTGCGACGCATGAAACGCGACCACACCAACTCTATGGAGCTTCCTATGAAGGATATCATCATTCACAACGAGTTCTTCAGTGAGGTGGAGCGTGACTTCTCGACCTCGATCATGTCGAACTCTTCGCGCAAGTTCGATACGTATGTCGCACAGGGTGTTATGCTCAACAATTACGCCAACATCTTCGGTCTGATTATGCAGATGCGTCAAGTCGCCAATCATCCTGATCTGCTGCTTAAGAAGAAGGCAGGTGAAGGTGCTGGTAATGTCTATGTCTGCAATATCTGTGATGAGCCGGCTGAGGATGCTGTTCGCTCTCACTGCCGCCACGAGTTCTGTCGTGCTTGTATCAAGGACTTCATGGACACTTGCGAGGCCTCAGGAACCGAGGCTGACTGCCCTCGGTGTCATATC